GTTTTATGAGACATATGGTCGTACTAGTTTTTTTGGAGCTCTCCTCGCTTCGCTCGTCGTATTCCAAACAACGCGTGCGACATAATAGTGTCTTATTATAAAACTTGTATAATAATTTACTATCAACCAACTAGTGTATTAAACGCTTTTTAATATACGTGTTGGTTACAAAAGGTTTCGACTATATTCCTCATTTCTCCTGCAATGACTGACATTATTAGAAAACGATTTTTTTGTTTTAGAAAACATGTATTAAAATCGATTCCGATACTTGGAAAGTCTAACCAGTCAACGTAAAATCTTCAATGAAATCCATATCTTCGATTTGAATGCAGATTCCGTAAAAGCATAAAAAGTGTATGCAACGATCATGTGATGGCTATTACATGATCGTTGCATAGATATTTATTATACCAGGGAAAAAAGTAGTACATTTTAGCTCCAGGTTGTGTTGTGTTGTGAGAAAAACCCGTAAACTGAAATCTAATATTTTTCCCGTGTATAATACATATTTTTTTTTGTGACAGGAAAAAGGACGACCCAATATTGAGAAGGTATAACATTATATTGAAATCAGAAAATTATTGACGTGAAATTTGAAGTTTTTAACAGGAATGTCACCTGCGTTGCAGGCATCTTCATCATTCTTTTGAAGTTATTAAATATCTGTCAGTCTAATTCTGTGATTGGATTTTTAAAAAACTGCGAACTTAGTGGTTGTTTAGTAATTTACGTAACCGCGAAGTCGAATGGAAGGTTAAAGGACTTACAGTTCTTTCTTGGAGACGGTAAGTATTGGCTTGTTTTTCGGAACTACAGCACAAAATTAATGTGTAGTATACAGGGTGTATCTAAAAAACACCGAAACATGTGTCCTAACTTGCTCCGTTTTTGAGATACAGGAAGTTGAAGTTGGAAGTATTAATTGTTTTTATTTATAACCTCCCTGTATGAGTATGGAGACTGAGGAAGCCCCAAAATTTCAGAATGATTCTAATTAGGGTTATTGAGTAATTTCAATGGAAGTCTTGAAAACACCTAAATTAAAATTTGTAGACAAATCGAATTTTATTGTTTCCTCAAAAACTAAGCTAGATACAAAAATCGCACAGAGGATGAAAAAGATGATATTTCGATAGTTCAATCTAATAAAAATTTGAACCTCAGAAAAACCTTACAATGACATTCACCATGAATATCGATAAATTCACCCACTGTGGCGCCACTGGTAATATTATTTCGAATCGAATTGCACTAGAAGAAGCTCCATATTACTATTAACAAAACCACAACGTTTTATTGAAACTGATGAAATGACAATTGAGAAGAGAGAGAAGAGAGTGGTCCGGTTTGTAATACAAAAAAATCATCAGTGTTGTACAGGGTGATTCACCATAAATGTCCCCCCCTCTAGCTCACTTATTTTTGAACCGTTTTGAATATTTGAAAGATAATCTAAAATGATTTTTTAGAAATTTTTTTCCCGTTGCATCAGAAAATACAGGGTGCTCGAAACAAACGATCTACAGAGTACTAATTGATTTTTCCAAATGGAACACCCTGTATTTTATTGTATTTTTAGAACCTTCCTGAAGAGCTGATTTCATCAATGGGTTGATCTAGCGGAAAAAAACTTTATCGAAAATCATTCAAGATGATAATTCAAATTTTGAAATCGTTTCAAAAATAACTGAGCTAGAGGGGGGGGACATTTATGGTGAATCACCTTGTACTCGTTGAAATAATAGAAAAAGGTTATATAAACATATACTTTTAAACGCGTTGTTTCATATATGTAGATATAGGGTGTTGAAAATACGAGTCTGAATATTATTTTTTGAAGAAATGTTCAAAATGGTTTCAGATGAATCAATAAGTTTCTCACAGAACCGGTCAAGAGAGATGAAATTTCAAACTTTTTCCGTCACAGAAAAAATACTATTGTTTATCGACTACCACCCTCATAACTCATCATAATGGTCAATAATAAAATTGTACTACTCCTACTAGTTGATCACAAAAACAATTGACATCAATCTCACCTCTCTGAAATGCTCCGAATTTGAATTTCGATAGAATTAACTATTCATGAAGAAATCATGATTTCAGATGAAATAACATAATATTAGGAACTTATGTATTACTAGTTCAAAAGCCAATATACAGGATATTTCAAAATTCAGTATGACCATTTCAATGGCGTTTGTTTTTAGGTCCAAATAAAGCACTGTTTTTGTTACGCAGCAGATTTAAAATCATTAACTAGAGTATCAGTTTTACTCAAAAATGATAACATTCGTATATTTCCTGGCCAAACTGTCTGAAACTGCATAGAAAAAAAAGTTGCGGGAAGAAATGTCCCTAGTGCCACCTATTTCCCACGCACCTGATCAAAGTTTCAGAAAATTCTTAACATTCCAAAATCGGCCATGAAAAGTACAGTGTGTCCAGTTTTCGATGCTTTTGTGGGATATCTCAGTTATCTTTGGAGATAGAACCTTGCGGGTTTCGCGGTCGTGTGCCACTTTTTTGTGAAACTCAAGATGGCCTAATCAGATTTTGCATAAGTGTTTCCGTTTATGAGATACAGGGAGATTTTGAAAATTTATACTTTTTGGACCCCCTCTAGATCTACGAAGTTTCTCAGCAAAAATGTCTAATTAAAATCTCATCCCATATAAAAGTTCACGCAGAATCCAGTGGCGCACTCAAATTTTTTTTTCGGGGTATGGTTTTGGAGATACGACTCAAACTTATGATTTTTTAAATGGAACACCCTGTATTTTATAAGCTCATAGAAATCCTCATTTTTTTCTCTTCGAAATGATTCATTATGTATGTATATGAAATTTTCAAAAATGCTCTGAAATCACTGAAACATTGAATTTTAATAGTGGGCTATGGATTTTTCTTATAAAAAAGTTCCAATTGAAGGAATATTCATTTTGATTTTTCCATAAAGAGGACAAAAACAATACCAACACTAATTAACTAAGAAAACACAAAAATTATGTACCTGATAGCAACAAATAAATAGTAATAAAAAGTTCATAATGTAGAATGAGCACCAGATCAAATATTTACAAATACAATTGAATTTCGGAATCATTCAATTACTTATTCACTGAATTGTTCAAATTGATGTCCCTTTCCCATAACACACAATTGATACAGTTTCTCAATACGTCTTGATACAGTAAGAGTCATAAATATCTTGAAGAACTTCGTGCAACAACAGAGGCAGTTTTCCAGGAATTACAAAGACATCCTTCAATGTTTTTGAATGCATTAAGACGTATTGAGAAAGCGTGTGAGGAAAAGTGGACATCAATTTGAACAATTCAATGAATAAGTTACTATTCAATTGTCTTAGTGAATATTAAATCAGGTGCTTACTCTAGAATATGAACTTTTTATTACCATTCATTTGTTGTTATCAGTTACCTAATTTTTGTGTTATCTTAATTAACTAGTATTGGGATTGTTTTTGTCTTTTTCATGGAATAATCAAATGAAATATCACTTCAACTTCACTTCACTTCAATTGGAACTTTTTTAAATGAAAAATCCATAGTTCATTATTAAAATTCAATGTTTTAATGATTTTGGAGCATTTTTGAGAATTTCATACCTATTCATCATATTTCATTTTGATGGGGAAAAAATAAGGAATTTTATGAGCTTATGAAATACAGGGTGTTCCATTTAAAAAATCATAAGTTTGAGTCGTATCTCCGAAACCATACCCAGAAAAAAAATTGAGTGCGCCACTGAATTCTGCGCAAAATTCTGTATGGGATAAGATTCCAATTCGACATTTTCGCTGAGAAACTTCGTAGATATAGAGGGGGTCCAAAAACTATAAATTTTCAAAATCGCCCTGTATCTCATAAACGCAAACAGTTATGCAAAATCTGATTAGGTCATCTTGAGTTTCACAGAAAAGTGGTACAGGACCGCGAAAACCGCAAGGTTCTATCTCGAAAGATAACTGAGATATCACGCAAAATCATCGAAAACTGGACACACTGTACATGTATAATATGTCGTTATTTTATCTCGGGCCATCTTTCAAATGGGGCCATTTCTGGGCTCATGTTTATATGAACTCTTTTCACTGTTTTTGTTTTTAGTATCTGTGGTTGAAATATTACTATTTAATTTCGGGACACCCAGTATATGTAATGATTCGATAAACCTGCATACTTACTATTATTCTTCTGTACATTCCATGCTAAAGTATATTTCAATATTTGTCATATAGCATTCCTTTCCATCTTGAATGATATGTCTCTGAAGTCATATTTGCTCTCTCAAACAATAATAATTATTATTTGCCTATTATTTCCTATCATTCATATCTCATTATTTAACGAACGCTACCTATTGAAGTTTAATAGTTGCGGTAAGCCTCATTTATAGAAGAGAATACAATGAACATATTGAATAAGTACTATAGGTAAGTAGATTTGATGATAAAACAAATCCACAAAGATATCTTGGTATCTACTCGATTTGTAATTTTTCGTTCAAAAATAAATCATACTATGAAAATTACGTTAAGTTGTTGTTCTTTTGCTCCAGTATTATAATACGCGAATTGAATATCTGATGTTAATTTATTAACTTTGTGCGTTTCAACACGGATTTTTCAATATGTGGTAGAAGTCCATCGTATCCCCCAAAGTGGAGTGGTTAGTTACCAGGAATCAAAAACACAAAGTCTCCTCCATAATTCTGATAGGGATTGATCACTATTAAAATTATGGGGACGACTTTGTGTTTTTGATCCCTGGCACCTAATTTTCATTTTATGAAAACTATAAAAACACGTATGTGGGTATAATTAAGTGGGTCTGTTTTCTACACACTAAACCACTGAACAAAAAAACTAAAAATTTTACAACTTACCGATTTCGTGTATTAGAATTTTCATAAATTTCAATGCATCGTTTGTTCTAGTTGGGAAACTTTTTCAGATTAATTCTTTTTTTTTTCAGTTGGCTGATTCCTACGAAGAAGTAGAAGAACAGCGACAAGTTGTCGGTCAGTGGAAGAGGAAAGTCCAAAAATTGAACGGCGAAATGAACGATCTCAGATTGCTGCTGGAAGAACAGAACGGTAGAAACAATTTGTTAGAGAAGAAGCAGAGGAAGTTCGACTCCGAAACACAGATGTTGAATGACGAGTTGAAGAAAGAGCGACAGGCGAAAGACAGATTTGCCAGAGAGAAAGAAGTGTGTATGGCTGAGAAGTATGCCATTGAAAGCACGCTTGCGGTAAGCAACAATGAATAATTTGAATAAAGTTAGATAGACATGAAGGTAAATGAGCATCTTGTAACCTACACATACTTGAAATGACTACACTAGACTGTTTTATTCTCGGTTTTACCGCTAACCAAACCAATTATTTTCTTCCTCAACATAAACACACTTTGATATTGAAACGAAATTAAGATCTCGGGACTGATGATTGATGGAACATTTTCCTAGCAAGCACAGACAGGGTGAATCTAAATAACACCGAAAAAATTCATTGTTATCTTGTGTCATTCTAGCAAATCAACTTCATGTAAACATGTGTCCTAACTTGCTCCGTTTTTGAGATACAGGATGTTGAAGTTGGAAGTATTAATTGTTTTGATTTATAACCCCTCTGTATAAGCTTTCATGGTGCCAAAATTGAGTATGGTTGGAGACTGACAAAGCCCCAAAATTTCAAAATGAATCTAATTAGGATTATTTAGTAATCTCAATGGAAGTCTTCAAAACACCTACATTAAAATTTGGAGTCAAATCGAATTTTTATTGTTTCCTCAAAAACTAAGCTAGATACAAAAATCACACAGAGGATAAAAAAGTCGTTAGTTCAATAGTTCAATCTAATTAAAATATGAAACTCAGAAAAGCCGGTGGTGTACAGTGTGTCCAGTTTTCGATGCTTTTGCATGATATCTCAGTTATCTTTGGCGATAGAACCTTGCGGTTTTCGCGGTCCTGTGCCACTTTTTTGTGAAACTCAAGATTGCCCAATCAGATTTTGCAAGACTGTTTCCGTTTATGAGATACAGGGCGATTTTGAAAATTCATACTTTTTGAACCCCCTTTATATCCACGAAGTTTCTCAACAAAAATGTCAAATCAAAATCTTATCGCATAGAGAATTTCACGCATAATCCAGTGGCGCACTTAATTTTTTTTCTCGTGGTATGGTTTTGGAGATACGACTCAAACTTATGATTTTTTAAATGGAACACCCTGTATTTCATAAGCTCATTGAATTCCATATTTTTTTGTCTTCAAAATGATATACAGTGTGTCCCTAGACCAGTGGGACAGTTGAATATCTCCTGAACCAATAGGAATTTTCAAAATATTATGATCCCACATCATATCGCATTATGAGTGCTAACTTCAGGAATGACTATATTTCATACGAGGGGCGCAAGAAAGGCTCACAAAATCGAACATCAATTTTTTCAAATGGAACACCCTGTATTTCTTTACATTTTCATATTCTCCTTGATGAGCTGAATTCAACGACCTAGCACACTTGGGGTCTAGCGGGAATGATTTCCGAGATATAGGGTGTGGAAAATCGAGATTTTTCATTTTTGGGGAATTTTTTGTGTCAAAACTATTCATTATTGGTCAAAACGGATTACATGTCCAGATCTTAACTCTCGATTGACTATTTACTCGTATTTAATTTAAACAAATACAGGGTGGTGTAGAATTCTGACTGAAACTGAAAATTTTACATCACCCTGTATTTGTTTCAATTAAATACGAGTAAATAGTAAATCAAAAGTTAAGATCTGGACATGTATTCCGTTTTGACCAATAATGAATAGTTTCGACACAAAAAATTCCCAGAAATGAAGAATCTCGATTTTCCACACCCTATATCTCGGAAATCATTCCCGCTAGACCCCAAGTGTGCTAGGTCGTTGAACTCAGCTCATCAAGGAGAATATGAAAATGCAATGAAATACAGGGTGTTCCATTTGAAAAAATTGATGTTCGATTCCTGAAGTTAGCACTCATAATGCGATATGATGTGGAATCATAATATTTTGAAAATTCCTATTGGTTCAGGAGATATTCAACTGTCCCACTGGTCTAGGGACACCCTGTATAGAGAATGAATATAAAATTTTCAAAATTGCTCAAAATCACAAAAATATTGAATTTTGATAGTTGGTTATGGATTTTTCTTATAAAAAACGTTCCAATTGAATATCAACACTTATTAATTTACAAAACACTAAACTTGGATACCTGATAGCAACAAATAAATAGTAATAAAAAGTTCATAATGTAGAATAAGCACCTGATTAAATATTTACTAAAATAATTGAATTCCGGAATTATTCATTAATTTATTCATTGACATGTTCAAATTGATATCCATTTTCCCTAACATACACTTGACAAACTTTCCTAATACTCCTTAATACAGTGAGTGGCCCAACATACTTGAAGAATTTTGTGCAACAACAGAGGCAGTTTTCCAGGAATTACAAAGACATCTTTCAATGATTAATATGTATTGAGAAAGTTTGTGATGGAAAATGGACATTAATTTGAACAATTCAATGAATAAATCACTGAATAATTTCGAAATTCAATTGTTTTAGTAAATATTCAATCAGGTGCTTATTCTACATTATAAACTTTCTATTACTATATTATATTTGTGGATATCAGGTATCTAAGTCTTGTGAATTGCAAGTTAATTAGTGTAGAAATTTTTTTCCCCTTCATGGAACAATCAAAGGAAATATTCCTCCAATTGTCAATTTCTTTATATGAAAATCCCTCGAAAAACCCATAGCCCACTATTAAAATTCAATGTTTTAGTGATTTTTGAACATTTTTGAAAATGTTATATTCATACATCATATATCATTTTGAAGGGAAAAAAATAAGGAATTTAATGAGCTCATAAAATACAGGGTGTTCAATTTAAAAAATCATAAGTTTGAGTCGTATCTTCAAAACCACACCCCGAAAAAAAAAATGTTTTGTGCGCCACTGAATTCTGCATGAAATTCTCTATGGGTTAAGATTTTGATTTGACATTTTCGCTGATAAACTTCGTAGATATAGAGGGGGTCCAAAAAGTATAAATTTTCAAAATCGCCCTGTATCTCATAAACGGAAACAGTCCTGCAAAATCTGATAAGGGCATCTTGAGTTTCACAAAAAAGTGGCACAGAACCGCGAAAACCGCAAGGTTCTATCTCCAAAGATAACTGAGATATCACGTAAAAGCATCGAAAACTGGACACACTGTACAATGACATTCACCATGAATATCGATGAATTTACCCACTGTGATGCCACTGGAAATATCATTATGAATCTAATTGCACTAGAAGAAGCTCCATATGACTATTAACACCGCAACACCGAACTTTTATTTCTAAAATATCACAAGGAATCAGCCCTTTTTCGGTGTTATTTAGATACACCCTGTATATTATAAGAAAATAATTTGTTGGGTATGGGCATAATTTGTGAAACCATAACATTTTTATGTTTTTTGGAACGAAATGGAAAGGATCAGTCATTTTGTGCCATCTGTAGGCAGCAATTACTGTCAAATTGAGTTTCATTTGTCGAATGCATTGCCTTCTATCAATGTCAATTATTAAGTTACAAAAACAAAGGGTCCAACTAGTTGTTCTTGCACCCATCTCCAATAATTAACAATTCCACGGGTTTTTATCTAGTGGTGCGGGTTTAATTCACATTTTGGGCATCAAACACCTTTGTAGGCAACCTCACATTACGAAATGGGCCATGCATTCTTGAATTTCCAGAAGGTCCTAACTTCAGCTCTATCTCTGTTACATTTATTAGTTCCTTTGCAATATGAGTAATCCATTGTATCTAGAAGAGTCGTCTTATGCTTGCATTACAGCTGAATATATTTACTACTACCTCATTTCCAACGATTTTCCTCGTAGGATCAAGTGATTCAATACTTGAAATTAAAAATTTTCGGAAAGAATCACCAATCTTTAGAGTGGTGTATCTCGAGATTTATTCGATCTACAGGACTGCGGTCGAGCTCAAATTGTGATAAATTTGGTCTTCTTCAAAAATATCAAATCATGCCAGTAGGATACTTGCGATCCAGTACATTATTGTTGGGAGCTTCGAGATTTGTTGTCCTGGTTTGTTTTATTTCCAATATCAGTTGCACAGATCGATGACACACATTTTTTCCTTTATTGGAACTGGACTCAACTTGAACACAATGACACTTCAGTTCCACTTTACTGCGCAACATTTATTTATTTATTTATTGAACAAATAACTTCCAGACAAAATAGGCTCTGGTATAAGGGAGTACATAACTATAAATTGGCAAACAAAGAATAAAATTTGTAAAAAGAAATGGTAATGGTATGATTAATTTTATCCAGTTCGCTCAGAAATAATCAGTTTTTTACTCCATTTTTGAATGTACCTATATTTCTGCAATTTTTTATATTGTCAGGTAGTTTATTGAATTCAGTTAAGGCTGAATGAGTGAATTTTTTTTGTCCGATTATGGAGCTAGCGGCGTCAAGATGAAACAAGTTATATTGTCTAGTTTCATGATTATGAATTTCAGAATTCCGTTTCAAAATAAAATTCTACTTCAATTTTTCATTAATGTTATATGATATTTCAAGAGTTTCAATTCTATATATTTCATCTAGAGAATTCGTATTTGTTATTTCATACAATTGATTGGTTGGTGTATCAAATAATAATAATAATAATAATAATACATAATACATAATACATTTATCAAATATTTGATACGACTCAGTATCAAGTTTGGGACATCTTCTCAATGCACCAATAATTGGAGATATATTTTTTTTTTCAGAACATCAATATGTTTGTCCCACTTCAACCTGTCATCAAACCAACTGGATTGATTCTATCACTTGTAATACTGCTGCTTGTGTTCCACTGTTTTCTTGAAAACCAAATTGATTAGAATCAAACCTATATTTTTTGTTGATGAATTATACAATGCGTTTCTTGAGAATTTTTCCAAGAATTTTAGAAAATATACTTATTAAAGCTATTGGTCTATAGTTAGTTGGATGCTGAGTATTTCCATTTTCGTAAATAGCTCTTACTGATGCATGTTTCAATTCACGAGTTTTTATTGCCAGATGTCACCGTAATTTCAAAATTGCATTAAATGATACAACTTGATCTCCGCCTTCAACTCTTTGTTCTTTCAACTCAAAGAGCTTTAAAAATACTGATTTTCTGCTGGTTTGGACAATTTTGTGTCTGTGATGGTGGCGGAGACATTTAGTTTTTTTTTTCAATTTTTTGCTTCCAATGGCGTTTTGAAAATCATTATATTGTAATTTTGTTAGATATTACAAAAACTGAGGATTGGGATAGGTATAATTTCATCTCTAACGCTGTCAATGTAGATTTAGCGGAAATTTCAGCCTGGGGAACCAACAAGCTAGTTGAATTCACCGCCACCAAAACTCAAGCCTGTATTTTCTTGTACCACCATTTCCACCAAGACCACAATATCTATTCCCGATATTACCATCATCAATACTCTCTCATGGGAAAATCATGTCCGATTCATCGCAAAAGCTGCTTCACAAAAACTCGAATTCTCGTTCCATGCGAGAATCTACTCTACATCTCAACAGCTTCTCATGATCTACAAAGCACAGATACGGACAGAAATTAACATGGAAAAAATATATTGACATCCTCATAGGAAAAGTATCTCCCATTATTGGTGCTTTAAGAAGATGCCCTAAACTTAGTACATATACATCAAATATTATTCTTTATTCACATATATTCAGTCGAATTAAATATCTCATAAATATTTGGGGATCTTGTTCCAAAAATAGTTTCAACAAAATTTCTGTTCTATATAAAAAGGCATTGAAAGTATTGTATCGTCTCCCATATGATACTCCAACGAATCAACTGTATAAGGAAACAAACACATTTTCTTTGGAAGAGCACTTTTTAATCAATACTCTCAAAATTTCCTATTATATCATCAACGAAAAGCTTAAATCAAATTTCATATTAATTAGGAATTCCGAAATTCATGATCATCACACTAGACTAGACAAATTATAAACTTGGACAAAAAAAGTTTACACATGAGGCAATTTCGAAATTCAATAAATTACCAGATGATATCAAAAACAGCCCAAATATTATACAATTCAAAAATAAAGTGAAGAAATATATTTATATGCAAAAGAATGATCAAAGCTGAAAGACTATGAATTTTCTTTATTTCTTTCTTTTTCACTGTTTTTTTTTCCTTCTTGTTCACTATAATATGACTGTTATTTTGAGATATCTTAATGATATGTAAGTTTTGTTCACCATTTGTAATTTCGATTATACAACAGTCGATAATACTTCATGAATGATCTTATACCAGGAATTACTGTCTGATCATTCATGTCATTCCTACTAGAAAATTAATTATACTTTATATATTATCTGTATGAAATGTATCAATGAAGAAGATAATGTAATGCAATAACTGAAATAAATTAATAAATAAAATATATGGGATTCAACACCCAAACATTCGCTGAGGCTCTTAGATTGCATCCAGAGAAGAGCCATTCGCCTGGTGGGTGATGTTACACTCACTAAATCTTTGACCTCATTAGAACACCGTAGAAAAATCAGCGACCTCCTACTTTCCTATAGATACTTCCACGGGAAATGTTCCTCAGACGAACTCGATAGGCCGAGTCAGCACATCCCTTCGTTGTAAACCTTGAAAAATGTCGAACAACACTACCAAAATTCGTTCGTCTATAGAACGGCGAAGCTTTGGAATTGTTTGCCAATGAAAGTATTCGCAAGAACTTATAACCTCCAGAAGTTCAACACCTACCTCCTCTCCCTATCGTCTCTAGGTACGCACGATGTTACACGAACATTATAGGAATTTTCTTTCGTGCGCTCCAAGAGATAAACAAACACAGCGGCAAGTTTTGAAGGAAACTTGTATTTAGGTATTGCTTTTTTTCTTTTCTTTTTCTTTTTCTTCTTTATTGCATACCTCGTTGGTCCCAGCACCACAGTAGAGAGCTTACAGAGCTTACAGAGCTCTCTACTGTGCCAGCACTGGGACCAAACGCCCCATAAGTCGAAACTTGTGCGGGGTTAGGTATACATACAAACACCAACATCCATGGCCTAACTAGGCCTTACTAGTTGAATATATTACCCCTAGCATGTCTCTATATAATGAAATTAGCATGTTACATTCATAAAATAAGAAACACTCTTCCTAGGCATATGGACATACATTGCTATCAAACCAGATACAACCAGTTGATATATCCAAGTCAAAATAACCTTCAAATATCATCAAGTGGTCCATTTTCAACTGGCATAAGAGTCTATAACCAATTACCTGAAGAGATAAAGAATCAATCATCACACTCCAAGTTCCGAAATTCCATTAAACATTTTCTGATGGCAAATCTATTTTATGATATCAATGAACTGTTTATGTGACTGCATTTTTTATTACATTTTCAATTTGTGTGTTGTTTTTACGTAGGTACTTACATTTTAAGGCATTTTATAATTTTATACATAATTATTTTAAACAAACAAGTATTGTATTTTGACCTTGAAAAATTCTATACCTGAATTAGGTCTTTTGAATGAATAAAATATTTGATTTGATTTGATTTGAGGATTCGAACCTAGGTCTCGGTGGGAGTCCCCATAGGAACTCAGCGCCTTCACGCTCTCGACCACCTGTTTGTTTCTAATGGATAAATGATAAATAAATGAATAAACCCTCATTTCATCCCCAATGCAGGACACGAGACTGGAGCTGGAACTGAAAGAGGAACGGCTGCTGGCCCTCCAACGCGAATTCGACGAGGTCACGTGCGGCGGCCGGACCGAGGAGGAAGTGACGCTGCTGCGCAAGCACAAGATCGACAGCGACAGGCGGCTGCACGACCAGGAGGAGGAGCTGGACGAGCTGGCCGGGCGGGTGCAGCTGCTGGAGCAGGCGAAGCTGCGGCTGGAGATGGCACTCGAGCAGACGCGCAAGGAGGCGAAGAAGGAGGCGCAGGCGCGCGACGAGGAGGTGGAGGAGGTCAGGGGCAATGCGCAGAAGAAGGTCAAAGGTACGGGGTCGGGCTGAGTAGGGTTCCTTGATGCGAATTGATGTATTTGCCATCTAACAGGGTACAGACAGATCTTAGCTCCTTTCTCTTTTAATTATCTAGTGACTTTGATTTCGTGTATTGGCGTCCCTGACATGACATTGCTGTCACGTCACATTCATAGGCGTTAATGGCGGATACATGCAACATTCATTATAATTACATTTTCACAACATTAAAATTACATTTTCACTAGCCGCGAGGTACCCGTTCATGCAAATTATGCTCCTAATGAACTTATTATTTGAGGTTATGTGATTTGCTTGGATTTCCCAAATGTTTATGTAATTTAAGGATATATGTGTTTATTTTGAATATAATATCTGAGGAGAATAACAAATAGTTTTTGTGAAAAAATGGTTATTCAGTTATTTAATCTTGCAAATCAGTCGTTTTCACTAGAACTATAATTTAATTATAATGTATAGTTGTAAGTTGGACAACTTCTTAGTGCACTAATGTGATGAAAATGTAATGAAAATGTGTTAATGTGTTGCATGAACGCATTCTATGAAATAGGAGTTTTCAACATTCTTAATTTATAATGTAATGAAAATGTAATTATAATGACTGTTACATGAATCGGCCTTGAAAGAGATCTTACAAAATTACTACAGTATTCAATTGTGTTTTGGAAGGATGGTAAAATGTGCTGTGTTAGGCTGTATCAATCAGTTGGATGGCAAATTTGAATTTGTCAGCTTTCCATCAAATGCAAAATAACTTAGAACATGGAAAGTGGAGTGACCAAATTGGTAAAATTGGTAAATACATCAGCAAAATATTCGACGTATAACTAATACAGAATCACATATTATACTTTATTATTGTACCAATAATTATCCACTCCACAAGTTTTTGAATGCATTTCAGTAGAAACAGCTTTGATTAAATCAGAGGATTAAAAGAAGAGGCATATGCCCTACCATTTAAAAAATAATACCTACATCCAGATAATATTTAGTGTTCGTGAAAAACTGCAAAAATGATTCCCAACATGAATATATACAGCACACACGACATATGAGCACATTAGTTTGAATACCTACATAAAATTTTTCACCATTTCCCAACCATAAGGCTCAGTCTGAAATCAAAATTCATTCATTGATAGGTACTGCCTAAGAACAGTCCCATTTGGTAAAACGTATCAAACTTTCAGAAAAAATTGCTCACTGCCTAACAAAAATTTTGCTGGAGTTGAAAAATCAAGAACTCGAAAATTATCATCATCATTTGAATATAATATGTAGAGTTGAATGAGAAATTACAGAAGTACGAAAAAAATTCCAATACCCACCTCCTGTCTCTATCCTCCCTAGGAACGCACGATGTTCTTTGAACATTAGAGGGATTCCCTTTCGTGCGCTTCAAGCGATAAAAAAAATACTCCAATGTCCTCAATATAATTTAAAAAACAACAAATGTCAGAAATCCAGTTTTTATCCCCAGAAATGAATGAAGATGGAACTATATAACTGTTTCACAAACACTTGAGAGTGAGAGGAGACGAGGTTCTGTCCGTACCCTGTTAAGATGACAAATACGTCAATTTACATCAAGGGACCCTGGGGCTGAGTTTGATGATTGTTCTACTTCACATGCTACAAGCAGGCTTATTCTGGTGGCCATTAGATATTGGCTATTGACGCAGTTCCAATAATCATGGCGGATTCTTAAGGTGGTCTTTCACGCCAGGTTTTTCTTGCTAGCTTTTCGCAGTGAGCCAATCAGGTTTCTCCAAATTTATCTGCCGCTTTCTCAGGTCATGATGCTTGATTTAGGCCCAAGTTTCACTTTTCAGCAGCAAATAGTTTCACATCTTTGTCTAATTTGATGCTATGCTATTAAAAGAAATATATCTGAGGGAATGTCTGTCATAGTTATTTACGTGCCAAGTGTGATATAGACATTATTAACGCACGCATGTGAGGATTGCACGACGAAGCCGTAGGCTGAGTTGTGTAATCACATGAGTGCGTTAATAATGTAGTATCCCACGCGTTGCGTACAAAATTTTATCTACAACTATCAACGTTCAACTATCTTTAAATACCTCATTGATATTCCATTTCGACATACCTACTCCTGACAGATTTCTGATAATTGAAAACAGGTACAAAGCCGTTTATACAGTGTCATTCATAAAGTCGGCATCATATGGGAAAAACTTTTATTAATGACTCATTTTGAAATTCGAGTTGGACGTTGAGTTTTGCTTCAAAAAAGATGGAGAATGGCCTACTCAATCGGGGTCACGTGACTTTCACTACATGTCAAAAGTGACATTTTTTCAAATTAATCGCTGAAAGAAGGCTTATTATATCGAAAAAGTTTACTCAAAAAACTTGTTTCTGTTTCAATTTTACACATGCTATTTGAATTTGATCTCTTTATTGCAACTTTTAGATTATTATTTTTTTTATTTTTCGAAATTTCTGTAAAATTTGAAGAATTGTTAATTCCACAAAACTACTTCATATCAGTAGCTTTTTCATGCTACCAACTTTCAATTACTCATTAATTATCACTGATTATGGACAGAAATATGATTTTCTTCAGAAAATGATAATACCCGCTTCCAAATTCTGTTATGTTTGATGCAAAGTTGATATATCGTCAAGCATTTAGGAACGAAATTCATTTAAACTGATTTTGTCAGTACTGAAAAGATTTCGAAGCCATTCGATCAAAATATCATCGAACTACTGCATGTATCTGAGTAATATTCAGTATTTTTATGAAACAAATCTATCTTGAATATAACTGCTACTGGCCCAGCTATGAACAGTCTTTGAAATTGAACAATTTTGCAGGAGAGTAGGCTTTGGAGATGAATGAAATGGGTAGTCAATGACAACAATTTCATATTAATAATAGTTTGACAGTTAAATACGTGGTTTTGTATACGTTTGAAGCAAATGAATGTAAGAATGTTATCGATACAAGAAAGAATTGAAATCATTTTAATGTGTGGAGAAAATACACCCCATCGACAAGTTGGAAGAAATATACAGCAGTCGACTGTTAGTAGAATCTTGGCAAAATTTTAATTGATTCCAAAATACCACATAATCCAATGAAAAACAATGAGGAAGTGCAATTGAATATCTGTTTAGATGCGATAGAGCATGTATTTTTATACTTTCTTTTTGTACATTTTATAAGTGGCTTGTCCGTTAATAGATAAATAAATGAATAAATGAATCTATGGTTGTTATCATAGCTTACCCATTTAATTTGTCTTCATTGCCTATACTCTCCTGCAGGATTGCTGAATATCAAAGACGGTGCATCGCTGGGCCAGTAGCGATTGAAAAATTTAAGATTCATTTATTCCGTAAAACTCCTGAAGGTTGGTTAAATACTTAAAGTAGTTCGATGAAATTTTGGTCGATGGCTTTGGCATTTTTTCACTACTGGAAACATCAATTCAAATGAATTGCGTTTCTGACTCAAACATAACAGAGTTTTCATGTTATGTTTGCATCAAACATAACAGAATTTTGAAGCGGAGATTATCATTTTCTGAAGAAAATCATATTTTTGTCGATAATTAGTGATAATTAGTAATTTGAAGTTAGTAGCATGATGAAGCTACTAATATGGAGTAGTTTCATCGAATTTACAATAATTTTTTTAATATTACAGAAATTTCGAAATTTCTTACAAAATATCGAAATCTTAAAAAGGTAATAGAAAGATAAAATTCGAGTCACATTATGTAAAATTGAAATAGAAACAACTTTTTCAATTGAACTTTTTCGATATTCGAACAAATAAGCCTATACTTTCAGCGACTAATTTGAAAAAATGTCACTTTTGACATGTAGCGAAAGTCACGTGACCTCGATTGAGAAGGCCATTTTTCATCTTTTTTGAAGCAAAACTCAACATCAAACTCGAATTTCAAAATAAGTCATCAATAAAAGTTTTTCCCATATGATGCCGACTTTATGAATGACACTGTAGATATTAAATTAAATTATCAGATCGATATCCAGGACTATCATTCCTTGAGTGAAAATGTCTTCAAGTGAAGTTGATCTACCATCCGATATTGAAAATGCGGCGAAAACTGTTATTTGAATTGATTGATTGAGTGAATACTTCGATAATCATTTAATAAATCACTCAGTCACTAGAAAGGACCAATAGTCTTGATTAATACATATATGCATAGTTTAACCTAAAAATCCCTTTTTTAGCATTGGAACAGCAACTGGAGAATGAGCATGACGAACGAACGTTGCTACTTAGAGAAAAACACGAATTGGAGAGGAGATTGGCCGCAGCTGCCGAATATGAAAGACACGACCGAGCAGGAGAAGAGGCCCTCCTACAGAGGCTGAAGAGGGACTTGAAGAGGACCAAGGCTTTGCTCAGGGACACCCAGGCACAACTTGACAGACAAAAGGCTGAAACACCTGGTAAGTAGTCAAGGGTGATTATTCATATAAAAAAATTAGAATTCTGTTTGCACTTTTTTTTTTTTTATTATTATTTCAGTTATTGCATTACATTCTCTTCTTCATTGATACATTTCATACAAGTAATATATAAAGTATAATTAATTTTCTAGTGGGAATGACATGAATGATCAGACAGTAATTCCTGGTATAAGATCATTCATGAAGTATTATCGACTGTTGTATAATTGAAATTACAAATAGTGAATAAAACTTACATATCATTAAGATTCAGTCATATTATAGTGAACAAGAAGGAGAAAAATAAAAACAATGAAAAAAAAAGAAAAAAGGAAATCCATAGTCTTTCAGCTTTGGTCATTCCTTTGCATATAAATATATTTCTTGACTTTATTTTTGAATTGCATAATACTTGGGCTGTTTTTGATATCATCTGGTAAATTATTGAATTTCGAAATCGCCTCATGTGTAAACTTTTTTTGTCCAAGTTTAGAATTTGCAGCTTCAAGATGAAACAAGTTATATTGTCTAGTGTGATGATCATGAATTTAGGAATTCCTGATTAATATAAAATTTGATTTAAGCTTTTTGTTGATGATATAATAGGAAATTTTGAGAGTATTGATTAAAAAGTGCTCTTCCAAAGAAAATGTGTTTGTTTCCTTATACAGTTGATTCGTTGGAGTATCATATGGAAGACAATACAATACTTTCAATGCCTTTTTATATAGAACAGAAATTTTATTGAAACTATTTTTGGAACAAGATCCCCAAATAATTATGAGATAGTTAATTCGACTGAGTATATGTGAATAGAGAATAATATTTGATGTATATGTAGTAAGTTTAGGACATCTTCTCAAAGCACCAATAATGGGAGATACTTTTCCTATGAGGATGTCTATATGCTTTCCCCATGTTAATTTCTCATCAATCCAAATACCAAGGTATTTGGTATGGGCAGTTTGTTTCAAACGTTCATTTTTTCTTCTAATATTCAGATCAATATTTTGTTTATTTCTTTGACGAAAAATCATATATTGAGTCTTATTAGAATTGAGAGAAAGAAGATTGGAATAAAGCCATTTCTCAACTTTTTTCAAGTCCTCATTTATGATATGTTCTAGAACTACTGGGATTTTATTCTCATATAGAAGCACTGTATCGTCTGGAGATCTAAAATATCCCATCAAGGGACAAGTATCTATTCCTGCCAATCTCGTTTGTCGAATTGATCGGTTGATTGGTACAACGTGACATTAATTATTGCTTAAACATTTTGAGTTCTCAGATTTTGAAAGGCATTTTACTTTATTGTTGATGGCTCTTGCAATAGTTCCGAAAAATAAGCCATTAACACCGTCTCCGAGAAAGAACTGCAAGTCCTATTATCTTCCATTCGACTTCGCGTTATGTAAATTACTAAACAACCAATAAATTCGCAATTTTTCAAAATCAAATTACAGAATTAGACTGATAGATATTTGATCACCTCAAAAGATTGATAAAGATGCCTGCAACGAAGGTGTAATTTTTGTTAAAAAATTGACGTGGTTAATTTTCTGATTTTAATATAGAGTAATATCTTCCTGTTCCATTCCTGTTAAAAACTCCAAATTTCATGTCGGTGATTTTCTGATTTCAATATAATGTAATTTCTTCACAATATTGATTCGTACTTTTTCCTGTCATAGGAAAAAATAGTGTATTATACACGGGGAAAATATTATATTTTAGCACACGGTTTTTTGTCTCCCTCCGCTACGAGTCGGGAGAACACGACCTGGGGCTAAAATCTTCAACTTTTTTACCTTGAATAATAAATAACTATTTCAATACCGAATTATTTCATCATGTAATTTTCAAGTTCTCTGTTAAATATTATTTGAATAATTGGCAAACTTTGTATCAACGTTAGCAGAAACAAGACTTCGAGTATCTAATCTTTGCAAATATTAACACTAACTTCATTTGAAAATGTTCATATAATTTCTACATATCAGCTGAAGATAAACCTTTATAGGTTTGAACCATGTTCTTATTGTATAAGATTGTCGAGATCGATTATTTAGTAGGTAGTAGGAGTTATTTTTTTCATTAGTACAAAATGATTAAAATGAGATGAATTTTGTATGTTTATTATACATCATGAGTTAACGCGATCTATGTAATGGAGAACTAAAACAAGCATGATTCTTAAAATTCATAGGAATGGTAATGGAAACATGTAGAATCCGGCTAAAATTATTTCGTAATTGTGAAGCTATGGGTTTCTCTCGGGAAGTAACGTCATCTTTGTCATTCTCATTAGGACACGCGGTATTTTGCAACATTTTCGAATTCTTCTCGATCCTTATTCAAATTCATGTATCATACCCTATACCTAAAATGAACCGTTTTTGAGTTATTCGAATTTTTATAAAAAAAAGTGACGAATGCAGCCTATGGAACATACGCAATTTTCATGTTGATTACAATGGGCGAGTGTACTAATAATGAATTTTTGGCATTCAATTACTCCACCGTGTCGTTAGGGACCTAATTTAATTTTTGCAACACTTTTCACACTTTTTTTATGTAAATAATGAGTGTATGCGTTGTTCGAAATTGTTGAATTTCGTAGCTCATTTCAAACGTACCGTCATGACCACCATTTGGCGATACGTTGAATGAATGGTGACGTCAGCTTTAATGCTGTTTCGTTATTGGTCAGATGATCTTCAATTCCCACTCACGAAGCAAGGTTGTCAAGTCACCAATATCAATCAAGTTATCAAAAAGATAAATAAAAGAGTCCTGCCGTTGAATAAAACATAATTGGAGGAACCCATGATATTGATTGATTGATTGATTGTCTTTATTACCCCAAGAAACATTTCTGTTTATGATAGGGATTCATAAATACATATAAAAAAATAATAATAAAGGGTTAACTATAATGAATTCCACTCAGTGGAAACGAATTAATATTGTGTCTTATAAGATTAAAGTTATATTTCATTCCTAAGTAATCAAATCATGCCACATATTTTTCATTCAAATTTTCCTAAGCAAGTATTTTTTAAGATTGATTTTAAACCTTCTCGCATCATGTATATTTTTCAACTCATTCGGTAATGAATTGTATAAAATTATTCCATTGTGAAAAACAGATTGTTTGCCAATGTTTGACTTGAATGTATTTGCTATCAAGTAATTCAATTGTCTAGTCCCATAATTATGGACTGTAATTTGATATTTTCAATTTATTCCTGGCAAAATGAATAAAGCAACATATTTTAAGTTTATATAAGAAAATCAGGTTCAGAAAATGTCTTGGTTTGTATAAATGTATCGTTGGTTCTAGAAAATGTAGATGAAAAATGCACTTAATTGATTTGTTTTGTAATTTCATTAGTGGTTTCAGACGCGAAATATTTGTACTCCCCCAAATAGAAATTAAATATTGCAAATTTGAATAAATGAGGCAAAAGTAAATACATTTCAAGTATTTTATGGGAATAATATTTCGGATTTTGAATAAAATGCCTATGATCGGATTTATTTTATATCTCAAATAGTTTAGATGTTTAGTCCATAATAATTTTTCGTCGATATAGAGACCTAAAAATTTTGTCACGTCTGTATATTTCATTAATCTATTGTTGAAAGTTATAGCATTATTCGAAATATTAACCTTAAAATGAAAAATGACCTCTTAAAACAAACTGACCAGATGAAATATCTTGGAATTTGGTTTGATGACAGGTTGAAGTGGGACAAACATATTGATGTTCTCACAAAAAAAATATCTCCAATTATTGGTGCATTGAGAAGATGTCCCAAACTTGATATTAAAATTGCAAACATGATTCTCTACTCTCATATACTGAGTCGTATCAACTATTTAATAAATGTTTGGGGAACTTGTTCAAAGAACAATTTCAATAAAATATCAACATTATATAGAAAATCGTTAAAAGTATTGTATCGTCTCCCATTTGATACACCAACCAATCAATTGTTTGAAATAACAAATACGTATTCTTTAGATGAAATATATAGAATTGAAACTCTCAAAATATCATATAATATCATAAATAAAAAATTGAAGTCGAATTTTATGTTGATACGAAATTCTGAAATTCATAATCATGAAACAAGACAATATAACTTGTTTCATCTTGACGCCGCTAGCTCCATTATCGGACAAAAAAGATTCACTCATTCAGCCTTAACTGAATTCAATAAACTACCTGACAATATAAAAAATTGCAGAAACATAGGTTCATTCAAAAATGAAGTGAAAAAATTGATTATTTCTGAGCGAACTGGATAAAATTGAACATGCCATTTTTTTTTTACAAATATTATTCTTTGTTTGTCAATTTACAGTTGTTGATATATTTTGTATAATGATATGTTTACCTATAGGTATATAATTATGTACTTCCTTATACCAGAGCCTATTCTGTCTGGAAGTTATTTGTTCAATAAATAAATAAATAAATAAATAAATCTTTTGGAAATATACATATATGAAGATTTGTTATAATTAAGAGTCAACTTCGACCAACCAGCATGTTCCAAATATTTCTTATACTCCATAAGAAAATATCATGTTAATGTTGGTGACTGGTCAACATTGTGCTGAATACTGAGAAGGGACAAGACCACGCCCACAAGTCGTGCGCGTCGTGTTATCACGTTCACCGCTTCAAATGTCCTCTAGTGTGAATTAATATAATTAGCAATAAGCCACAAATCATAAGGGACCATTTTGGGACAATTGATTTTGTATTGCTAAATAGGAATACCAATACATAATTGAGAATTTATTAATCTTTGAATAACTAATTCTGAAGTACCCAATCGTATTTCAACACATGGCAACTGTGCTATGGTCTGCCCTTACTTGTGACGTGACGTCAGTTTTTACTCGCGGCAAATTTCTATCCGTTTGAAAATTACCATGGTATTATTGATGATTTTAGCACCTAAATATCGACCGGAAATTTCTGAAATAATATGAAATTGAAAGGTATTTGAGTGATGATTCTATTTAAGAAATAACAAAAAATTACTCCACTCGCCTATTCTTAGTGATATAATGTAGTGATTGTGTCATAAATGTTGAAGGTTGAACGGATCACTAATTATAATCAAAACCACTGAATAATTTAGAAGTTGTGCAGGAAATGAATATTTCACATATTGGAAATCTCGATTTTTTAAAATGGAAACCCCATGTTTTTTTTAACAAAAATGAGCTCTGGTTCTAATAATTATTAACTACCCTATACCCAAAATTCATAATTTCGGAGATATGTCATAAATAGTACTCAATTTTGCATTATAATTGCCTGAAATTTTGGATGTCTGGTAGGCTGTGCAGAATATCTATCGACGAATTGAATAAATTTGGTTACAGTCAGATTCATCATCTCCAGAAGTGCAATGTGGATTGAATCTTATTGAACCTACTTAACGAATTCTTCAATATTATACCCAACAGTTATCATGCAGAATTGAGTAATATTCGCCTGGTGAGTGATGCCACACTCACTAACTCTTTGGCATCATATTGGAACACTGTAAAAATGTCGGCGACCTTTTATTTTTCAATGGATACTTTCACGGGAAATGTTCTTCGGAAATACCAGTTAGACGTACTCGACAAGCCCAGTCAGTATATCCTTCCATTGTCAACCTCGAAATATGTTGAACAGCACTTTATCAAAACTCGTTTGACTTTAGAACGGCAAAGCTCTGAAATTCATTGCCTGAGGAAGAGTATTTCTAAGAACTTATATTCTCCAAGAGTTTGAAAAAATTCCAATACCTACCTCCTCTCCCTATCTTTCCTAGGTACACACGATGTTCTTCGAACATTATAGGGATTTACTTTCGTGCCCTCCTAGCGATAAAAATGTATGTAATACTTCCGAAATTATGGGTTTTGGGTATAGGAATGTTGATAAGAACTAGGGCTCATTTTTATATTAGAATTGATTGATGGGACGAAAAATAGTTTTCATTGGAGAAAATTAGGATTTTCAATGTTTCACAATCACTTTCTGGTCCCAGTTTTGTGCGCACCCTGTAGATCAATCAATAGCTGTGATTATGATGGGTGATCCATTCAACCTTCAATATTCACCTTTCAGTCATTGCATAATACTAAATAATGTAATTAATATGAATATGGTGTATGTTCGATATGCTGCATTCGTCATTTTTTCTGGAAAAACTCTCAATAACTTTAAAACGGTTCATTGTAGGTACAGGGTGAATGAATTCTAATCAATATCAAAGGTGAAATTGAAAAAGTTTGTATAATTCAGGGAGTCGAATTGAAAATGACAAAGATGACGTCACTCACGGAGAAACCAGAACCTTCACAATAACGAAAATATTTTGGTTGAATTTTCCATGTTGTTTCACAGCCCCCTTCCAGTTTTCAGAATCAAGCTACTTTCAGTTCTCCACATATATTACTCATAAAAATATACCCTGTATTTTTCAATCTAAATCGGTTTGTTGAACTGGGTGTGATACATTTTCATATAAACCGTTTAATATTTATTTCTCTGCACTTTAAAATTCTATAATTTCTTCTAATTTTCATATGATTTAAGACTTCCGATAGCTAAAATTTTGTGGAAATTGGGAAATAGATGTGGCTTCATAGTATTTAAGGTACCAGGTGAATAAATATTGCCCATACAAACGATATGTTTTCCCCCTTCTGAAATGCAAATACTAAAGTGGTGCTGCTAGAAGCAGGACACACACACACACACACACATACTCACCTTCACACACACCCTGACACATACATGATAGCATAGATAAACCTCAATATTTCGACATATTCGATATTTTTCAGGTAAGGCGATGATTCGCCAGCTCAGGAACCAAATAGAAGACCTTGAATGCGCCCGATCCGTAGCGGTGAAAACCAAACAGAGCCTCGAAACCGACCTGTTGGAAACTCAATCTCAGCTGGAAGAAGCGCACCGGCAGAAACAAGACTCCGAAGAACGCGCCAACTGTCTCCTCAGAGAAAAAGGCGAGCTGCAGTCGCAGCTGGAAGAGAACGAAGAGGAGCTGGCCGAGGTAGATATTATGACTTCATCTAATAAATAAGAAAAATATGCGAAAAAGCATTCGAATCTAACTTTCAATATCAGTCGGAAAGTTTCATTCAGATGTATATTCATAAAATAAGTTCGGAACTCCTCAGTTTCATCTTCACGCTGTAGAATGGCCATCGATAAAGTCCAAGTCGTTTTTATTTCCAAATTTTCCGATTCCAATTTTCTGGGCGGCAAACTGTGACGACGTACAGTATGAATCTAGTCTGACTTTAGCTGATGATGAAGAATAAAGTTATCGAATAGATAACGAATGGAAAACGAATTCAAAACATAGAAGAAAAAAAATTGGCGTCGTTGTTGATTTTGACTAATAAAAGAACTATAAACTGTAGACATAGGCTAACGAATGAATCAAGGATAAAAGTTTAAGTTTTCTCTTCAGAATCGAATTAAGAATAGTGAAATTGGACTTTTTGACATAACTCGTGAACGTGATGTTGGATATTTCTTTTGATGTCATCATCGCAATCAGCCGAAAAAATACTATAGTTTGTCCATTGAAATGACTTTGTAGCTCCAAATATGCCAGTCAGGCTCAGTTTCGATCCTGCCTTCGTAGTGGTTATAAAAAGTCGCCCTAGATACGGTGTCGCTGAGCGTCAGCTGGACAGAGGGTCCATTGTTTGATACACCGATGGTTCGATAATGGAAGAAGGGATAGGCGCGGGTGTATATGGACCTGGATGTAGGCTGATTGAAGCCTTAGGTCACTCCTCCACTATCTCCCAAGCTGAAATACATGACATCAACCTATGCGCCCAAAGGTGCCTGAGCAAAGGTCTGAGGGGTGCCAACATATATAATTGCTCAGACAGCCAAGCCGCACTAAAGCCCTTAAATCATTTGTTTTCATATCAAAGATTACATGGGACTGCTTTGAAACACTCATGCAACTGGGAAAGAACAACAAAGTCACACTTATGTGTGGAAAGGAATCAAAGGAAATGAGGCAGCTGATCGCCTTGCAGCATCTGCACTCTTTGGTCCTGAGCCTTTTTGTGGGATAAGCCGATGTCACCTAAAGGGTGAACTCAGGAAATGGGAAGAAATTGAAAAGTCCTCCTACTGGAGAGCAACTCCAGGTCAACGACAAGCGAAAAGGTTCATCATCCATTAGCAGAACCGAGCCAAAGATCTACTCAGCCTCAGAAAACCAGAGCTATAGCTTATCACAGGCTTTCTCACAGGACACTGCCCCTGAGGTACCACCTTAAAAAGATGGGCCTGGCGGAGAAACCCCGGAGCACATACTTTGCTCATCTGAAGTATTAGTCCGCCAAAGGCTGAATCACCTAGAATAGGTCTATCTCACACCTGCTGAGGTGAAAAATTCAACCGTCTGGAAAACTCTAGGCTTAATCAGGAGTCAAACAGCCAACTCTCTATTTTTATGAGTTATGACACTTGTAGACGTTTTAATTTTGATGGTATTTTATTATGTACATTGTTGATTTTGTTTTTAGTATTATTATTATTATTATTATTAGGTGCTGAAGAAGTTCAAGGGCACCGTGCAGCAGATGTCAATGGACCAGCTGGCGTTGCAGGAGCAGGTGTCGCTGGTGTCGGAGTTGGAGGTCGAGCGGAACCAGCTCAAGGAGCAGCTGGCTGAGCTCACGACTCGGCTGGAGTCTGTCGAAAGCATGGGCGATGCCTCCTCGAACCTGCTAGTGAGACGGTAAGATACTCGATCGATTTCTGTTGTTTCTTCATAGACCTTTCGGAAGTGTTAACTGGTTTTCTGAGAGAGGTCATCAACGCCAACATGTTCGTACGAATATCAAATTCCATGGATGAGTAGATCACGAAATAAGATTCAGTAGGTACATTTTCTGGTCAATTTCAAGTTTTTCCATAGTTCCTTATACCATAAAAAGCTCACGTCTCGGCTGGAGTCTGTCGAGAACATGGTCGATGCCTCCTCGAACCTGCTAGTGAGATGGTAAGATACTCAATCGATTACTGTTGTTTCTTCATAGACCTTCCAATAGTGTGGACTGGTCTCCTGAGAGACCATTAACGCCAACATGTTCGTACAAATATCAAATTCCAAGGATGAGAAAAACCTTATAATAAGATCCGACAGGTACATTTTCTGGTCAATTTCAACTTCTTCCATTGTTCCATATATACCATATAAGGAGCAGCTGGCCGAGCTCACGTCTCGGATGTAGTCTGTCGAGAGCATGGGCGATGCCTCCTCGAACCTGCTAATGAGACGGTAAGATTATTGCAGAGACAGTTGAGTGCTAATGATCCAGTGCCGGATTCAAGGGAGGGTATCATGGGCTACAGCACTGGGACCCCTATAAAAAAGGGGCGCCCACAAAAGAGAAAAAAAATCCTTCGAATTCCGACGATTTAAGACTAGTAAACAACTTTGCCTTTAATTTTTTCATGAAGTAGTCATTTGATTTACTACGCAGAAAACCCCAAGATTTAATGCGGGGGCTGGCTTTGAATCTCCTTTTCTGCCATGTGAAACATATTTTTTTTGCAAATTCGCTTCAATTTCACGCAAAGTCCAAATGGTCCATCATTTTGTGTTCACCCAGTCATTGTCGATTTTGATTACTAAGTTGATTCAAATTATTACTCGGAATGTGTCAAAGCACCAAACACGTCGCCCCATCTGACGGCAACAACTTGAACACTTCTGAGCGGTTTGTTTTGATGATATGACCAATGAGCACGAAGAAGAAACACATGTGATCCAATAAAAACAAAGCAAACAGGCCGCTTTGACAGCTTTCAAGAACATAGGCTTATTTTCTATCGTGAATACAGTCATTGATTATTTTAAATCATCGTGACTATTCTTTTTATTAATAATCACCTATCCAAAACGCTAATTCTTAATTACGTGACATACCGATAAGCACGAATTATTATGATCTGGAAAAACTAACTTTATTTTTGTTTTTTACTGAATGAAAACGGTTATCTTCTTCATCAAGTTACAATTTTAGTGCATTAGCTAAATTGCATAATGGGGTTGATTACATAAGTCGAATTTACGTCACATTGATCGTTCGTGATAGTATTTGATATACAGTCATTAAGTGTTTTGAATCATCGCAGGTAATTTTTTTGAGATGAAAATAATCACTTATCCAAAACGCTAATTTTCGATCACGTAACTTGCCGATAAGCACCAATAGTGACTTTTCGCAACAGCCAATGAAAATATATCCTCATTCCACATAGGAATAAGAACTTACTTCCATAGTAGACGTATACACAGTACATGAGTCGTATCGTATATTAGTTGTACCGCATTTTTCACGTTATGACACGTTTCATTATCGTTATTCAATTTACAGTTCAGAACTGAAAGTGAAGGAGCTCGAATCAAAGTTGGAGTTGGAACAGACGACTAGATCGAGACTAGAAGTCCAAATAAGTAGACTGAAAGAAGCAGTAGAAAAACTACAGAGTGAAATTAGTGGTTCAAGAGCCAAAGAACAACAAGCCCAAGATCAAATCAGAAAATCACAAAGGCATTTGAGGTATGTTGACATTTTTTTCTGTTCAAAATATAATTCGTCTCTAGAGAATTGATCAAATCAATAGTTGTTATTGACACCACTGAACAATTGGAAAAAATACTCCAGATATTAAAGAAATGAATGAAATGATACAAATCGAAATCTTGTAAAAACTCTCTTATGATTAAATGCAAAAGACGGACGACCACAGAATTATATATTACTAAAAATTAGTGTAAGCAGTAGCACTACGGCCATCATCAGACACGAAACATTATACCTGTAAGGAAATCAATGAAAATTATACAATTGCTACTATCTAGAACAATATCTTACCTATAAAGCAGTCATGTGCGAATAATTAGGTTATAAAAACTGACCTGGTTGTAACATAATCATTCGCACATGGCCTTTTTGTAGATAAAATTTCTTTCCGGAGGGTAGCAATTGTACAATTTCAACTGTTTTCCTTATAGGTACAATGTTTCGTGTTTCTAGTTACATTATCGAAAAGGAATATTCTCAGATAAATTAAGAACATGAAAAAATTAACATATATATAAAGAACATACATTGAGAATTCGCATTTTCTATGTAATGAAAATATCAATTCTTCCTCGGTTTATTCAACAGAAAACAGCTACTTTCCTGGCTATATGCTACGACGAACATTGAATTATATCTATTGAGCACACACGATAAGAATTTGAAAACAAAATCCTCTGAAGTTGAGAATTTGCATCATTCTTCAGATAAAATTATCTATAAGCACACAATATCATTTTGAATATTCAACTAATTTATTTCAGGGTTTTATAACTTTGTGGTCGACGGACATCGGGGTTTTTCCCTTTTATTTAAAAAATTCTGGACCACTCTGAGAATAATGAATGGTTTCCACGACTTCTTGTGCAAGAAAATGAATGGAACGTATTTCATTGAACTTTCGAGGCATTTTTAGAATATGTATAGGCTAATTTAACATTTTACAATTACCATTGAATTTCGCAACTTTTTATGTTCATATATTACCTAGGGGTTCTTGGTAGGTTGAGAAACTTCCCATTGAATTTATAACAGCTTAGGTCCATTTCAAATTTTAATGGTATGAGAAAGTATCATCCACACTGAATCTTCAAAGAACTATATCATCATTTCTTTAGGGAAGTGAAAGAAGAACTCAACAAGAGTCTAGCCAAAGAATCTGAAGCGATACTGAAAAAGAAAGATTTGGAGAAGAGGTGCGAATCCATCGAGGCCGAAGCAGCATCTGCGAGAACAGATCTGCGACTAGCCTTGAAACGGATCGAAGACTTGCAGTCTGCTATTCAAGGAGATATGGAAGATACCATCTCTGATAATACTGATAGGTAAAATAATAAACTTTGAGTCCTTCATCCTGGTTAATTTTTCATTTTTATTTCAGCGAACAAGATACTTACAGTTCCGATGATTCTGTGAATACGTTTTTGTCGAATAATAAAGCGGGCTCGCCGAAAATAGAGAAGAAGACCATCGTGAATGATATCAGAAGGTTAGTTACTATTCATATCATGGGCAAAACACTGGTTTTTATTTTTTAAACTAGATCTTCACACTAATGCGCTCAATTTTATAATTTTTAAAACATCTTCTGAATATATTTGGTTGCAATTTGCCACTCTAATGATTGCAGGACTCATTGAGGGAAACATATTTCTAAGTACGTCTGCAAATAACAGGAATTGTATGGCTATGAAAAGCCACAAATCATGTTTAATTGATGAATATGTTCTTCGAACATCAAAGGGATTCCCTTTCGTGCGCTCCAAGAGGAAAGAAAAGTTACTTCATTCTTAACTGAATAATATTTCTTCGTATGCGTATGTGTAATAACTGTAAAAATAGCCTACTGATATTAGTTAAAAATTGTGCCTGGATACGGAATAATGTTTAATTCATTACTGTATTCTTAGGTATTTATTTCAATAGTGTTCTTAATAATGTCTCAAAAGTCCCCCAGGTAGACGGCTACGCCAGACATTTGGCAGCAATTTAAACGTCAAAAAACTGGCTTTGATTTCGCGATTTTCTTGATTTATATTGATTTTACAATCAAAACACATCGATAAAAAGATTCGATATATCTACATGAAAAAGGCTCTGTAAGATTGTATTTTCAGTGCAATACTTTCCATGATGAATCCCCGCAATAAATTATATACCGGGTGTTTCATAATTGAATGTCAATTTTTGGGAAGATGATTTTTGGGCCATTTCAAGAAGAAAGTTTCATATGAACGTATGACTTCAACGTCCTAACTTTTGAGATCCAGGGTGGTAAAGTTCTCAAAGATTGATAGTTTTCTTATTAATATCTGTATACCACCTCAGATATTCTAATGAAATTTGGCGTACATGTACTATGTATCAAGAGGCATCGGTTAGTGTACCACATTTTTTTGGTTGCCACCAGTGGCATTCGTATGGAATTTCACATACCTATTTTGGCAGACATTGATGGTACGCCACTGATTAATTTCGAAATTGAAATCATTCCTGAAATTCACAATCATTTCTAAGCAAATTTGATCACCACAATTTTTTCAATCCGATGCACGGTTTTCGTTAAAAAAATAAAGAGCTTTTCACTACATGATTATAGCAACATCGTTAATATGACAATATCACAATGCAGAGAAATAGATTTTATTTTTTATTTGGTATTTTGGAATTATAACTTCCCATTGTAGTGAGCTATATTAATTTTTGAAAACTTCACCACCCTGTATCTCAAAAGTTAGAACTTTTAGGTCATACGTTCATATGAAACTTCCTTCTTAGAATGGGCCCAAGAATCGCCTCCTCGGATATTGACATTCAATTATGAAACACCCAGTATATGAATTAGAATTATATAGAGAGAGGTAACTATGTTAGCATCTTCAGGAGAATATTGAAACTTCTTAAAACTCAATCTTCTCCTGAAGATGCTAACATAGTTAGCGAAACACGTGTCGAAACGTTCAAAAAATCGACAGTGTAGGTAGTGGATGATTATTCCATGTCAAACTGACAGACTTTGTTTCGCTATCCATGATTACATCGTTGAAAACATCAACGCTGACAGTCCAATCAGAAGAGAAAGACAGCTAATGTTTTCGCGATAAGCACATGTTGTATCTGGCTTGTGATTGGTCAGATTATGTGATGAGTGAAATAGTCATCAATATGTGGACAAAAACACATATTTCTTATCATTTCTATTCTTAATTCATTCCTGAAATAAGTGCACACTTCCAAAATTGCTTAAAAGTTCACTCAATAAAGTTCCCATCATAAAATAAGAACTTGAGATTTTTCTCTAGGAAATCCTTGAAATTTGATTCATTCAATGAAATCACTTTGTTCAAATAAAACTCACGAGCATATTATAATTATTATGAGGTTGAGATTAACCTTCAAAAGGTTTTTCTATAGTCTGTAGCAAAATAGAACGTCTTTGTTCCTGAGCTGCGAGTGACAAATAATAGATCAAACACATGGAGATTTTTCCATAACGGTTCTGATACACTGAAGGTTTGACGAGATGATTCACCTGTGATATGTGATTCCATGGATATTTCCGATGTTTTGATAACTAATATCTGTTCAAGTCATGATATTTTCATCAGACTATTGTTTTTTGAACCGATTTGAATAAAAACAAGTGGATACGAATGCACAAATACCGAAATGAACATACAAAAACAGATGAGCTGAATGTGTTACGTCAAACGATGTAATCAAAGCGCATGCTCACACTCCGCTGAATCTGCCATGTTATGTAAACGTTTTTTTCGAATAAGTTGGGAACTAACTTTCATTCTACTCTGGGTTATAATTCTGTGCGGCTTTATAATTGTTCACTATGAATTTCCATCAAGAATTTTGAATGCACCAAGTTGATTGGGTAGTAGTTCTTCAATCTGAATTTATGCAAAAACGTCAAGATTGTTGTTGTCAATTTTTTTTACAGACTATCTAGCACAAGTCGCTCCAGTACCTCTGGAAATTTGGGCAGAGAACCTTCATATACCTGAGTGGCGGTGAATATCTGCAGGACCATATCATTGACTTTCTGCAGGCAACAATCTGGTGATATTGACAATGCGATAGTAGAATACGTTTGACTTACATCTGAACTGATGAAACCATGATAATCACCCTAGATAGTCCTAGCGAAAACCGGCATTAAATATTGTTAGTTTTGTGATAAGACTGAGTGTATCGATCGATTTTGTGAGAGAAACTTATACTAGTGATGGAAAAAACGTGTTACCACTACTAACCTGAGAAATCACTATTATTCAAGAAAATAATTGTATAATGAGAAGTTTAAGACATTCATATTCGTTCATTATGTTGTTATTCCCTCACAGAATTGAATGAATATTATCAAGACATGAAAATGTTGTGCTCATATATTTGAAAGAAACATCACCCGTAAGTTAGGTAAATATATGAGAAAATAAGTCCCCATAAACACAACGTAGGTACCTGAGGAAGTTGAGATTCTTAGTAAACAGAAATATTTTTGAGAATGCCTTGAAAGATTTGTTGTAGCATATTTAATTCGATCATAAGGCCATATGAGGCAACATTTTTTTGTGTGGATTCTAGAAGATGTACTGCTCGTGGGGCGGGAAAATGAGACAGGAAAAAATAAGAGTCATAACTTTCTGAGGAAGTATTTTTGGACATATATTTATATTGAATTTTACTTAGAAGAATTAATTGCTAGGAAATCATCGATCGTAAGTATGTTTGTTCAATTTGGTTTCAACTCCCTATTTTATAATATCTTGAAAATATCGAATCATCGGGATCCAGAGACTTCGACAGTTCACAGAATCTGAAAATGAATTAACTTTGATGTACAGAATGTCTGGACACAGATGGAAAATATTCTGTTTTATTAATTTTTCAAAAATTCTCTCACGTTTTTGTGGTGTTAAATTATGAGCTGAAATGAGAAATGTAAGAAAAACTTTTTTAATTTCTGCCTTTCACTGCATATTTTGCATACCCATCTGCGTCAATATTCTAGGATGTTTTCAGGCACTGATTTGTCCTTTTATGACAAGTATTAATAAGATTAATCGACCCGTGGACAAATCAGAAAATAGTATTATATCAATTTGTTTATGTAAATACACTTCTCCAATGTAATTAATCGATGTATCATATAGTTTTTGTAGGGCTGTATTACTTAAATTGTAATTAGTTTTTATAAAATCATTGTATTATCTAGAATTTTACCAACTTGTCTGTAATATATCAAATGTTGTGCAAAAATAAAATGAATGTATTGATTTTTCTGGTATGTTTTCACCTACACCAAATGTAATGGTATTTCGAAGGAATAATATCTCATAGAATCAGTAATTCATCGCGAAATAAACCAGCATAATATAACTCATCATGTAGTAAAATAAAGAAATGTATTCTATAGGAACGTAAAACATCATACCGTAAATCTTAGAAATGGTAATTTATCAAAACCGTATTTCATAGCGACTGTAAAACATCAGAATTGTATTTTGTCGATACGATATCGCATAGGAACTGTATTTCATAGAAAATGTAATCGTGCATAATTGTATTCCATAGAAACGGTAATCCATCAGAACCGTATTTCATAGCGGCACTAATAATTCATGACCGTATTTTGCCGCGACATTAGTCTATCAAAATCGTTTTTCAAAGAATTGGTAGTTTGACAGAATTGTGTTTCATCGCAACTGTATTCCATCAGAACCGTATTTCATAGCGACAGTATTTCATAGGAACCGTATTTCAAAGCGACAGCAAATCATAGGAAACGGAATCGATAGCGACAGCAATCCATCAGAACCGTAATTCATAGCGGCAGTAATTCATAGGCACCATATTTCATAGCAACAGCAATTCATAGGAACCGTAATTCATAGCGACAATATTTCATAGGAACCGTATATCATAGCGGCAGCAATTCATCAGAACCGTAGTTCATAGCGACATCATTTCATAGGAATCGTATTTCATAGCGACAGTAATTCATAGGAACCGTATTTCATAGCGACAGCAATTCATAGGAACCGTAATTCATAGGAACCGTAATATAGCGACAGTATTTCATAGGAACCGTATTTCATAGCGACAGCAATTCATTAGAACCGTAATTCATAGCGACATCATTTCATAGGAATCGTATTTCATAGCGGCAGTAATTCATAGGAACCATATTTCATAGCGACAGCAATTCATAGGAACCGTAATTCATAGGAACCGTAATTCATAGCGACATCATTTCATAGGAATCGTATTTCATAGCGGCAGTAATTCATAGGAACCGTATTTCATAGCGACAGCAATTCAAAGGAACCGTAATTCATAGGAACCGTAAGTCATAGAAACCGTATTTCAAAGCGACAGTATTTCATAGGAACCGTATTTCATAGCGCCAGCAATTCATCAGAACCGTAATTCATAGCGACATCATTTCATAGGAATCGTATTTCATAGCGGCAGTAATTCATGGGAACCGTATTTCATAGCGACAGCAATTCATAGGAACCGTAATTCATAGGAACCGTAAGTCATAGAAACCGTATTTCAAAGCGACAGTATTTCATAGGAACCGTATTTCATAGCGCCAGCAATTCATCAGAACCGTAATTCATAGCGACATCATTTCATAGGAATCGTATTTCATAGCAGCAGTAATTCATAGGAACCGTATTTCATAGCGACAGCAATTCATAGGAACCGTAATTCATAGCGACAATATTTCATAGGAACCGCATTTCATAGCGGCAGCAATTCATCAGAACCGTAATTCATAGCGACATCATTTCATAGGAATCGTATTTCATAGCGGCAGTAATTCATAGGAACCGTATTTCATAGCGACAGCAATTCATAGGAACCGTAATTCATAGGAACCGTAATTCATAGCGACAGTATTTCATAGGAGCCGAATTTTATAGCGGCAGCAATTCATCAGAACCGTAATTCATAGCGACATCATTTCATAGGAATCGTATTTCATAGCAGCAGTAATTCATAGGAACCGTATTTCATAGCGACAGCAATTCATAGGAACCGTAATTCATAGCGACAATATTTCATAGGAACCGTATTTCATAGCGGCAGCAATTCATCAGAACCGTAATTCATAGCGACATCATTTCATAGGAATCGTATTTCATAGCAGTAGTAATTCATAGGAACCGTATTACATAGCGACAGCAATTCATAGAAACCGTAATTCATAGCGACAATATTTCATAGGAACCGTATTTCATAGCGGCAGCAGTTCATCAGAACCGTAATTCATAGCGACATCATTTCATAGGAATCGTTTTTCATAGCGGCAGTAATTCATAGGAACCGTATTTCATAGCGACAGCAATTCATAGGAACCGTAATTCATAGGAACCGTAATTCATAGGAACCGAAATTCATAGCGACATAGTTGGGGTGAAACTTGAAAGTTAGAATAAAAAAAAAAGATTTCCATGTACAACTTTTGAACGGATGCCATGGTATCAATGATATTTGGACAGGTAAATAAACTCATACTTATGCTCTTTTCCATACGTAAACGGCTTCTCAGTGAATATGTTTTATACAGGATGGGACGAAATTTTTTCGTTAAATGAAGGTATTTTTGACAGAGGTAACAAATTTCAGATTTTGCTTCCTCCGCTTGATTCCTTTGTCTTTTATCTACAAAAATGGTATACTTCGTTTCAATCGATATGTTGTACCGTTCTAGAGAAAATCGCATTTCAAAACCGTTTCAACGGTAATAAAAGCTCAATTCACTTTCTTCAATTTATTGAAACACCAACAAGTTCTTGTGAGAAAATTTGAATATTCCATCACTTTTTTCTGGTTAATAGTTCCGAATCAGTCTTTCAGAATTTTTCCAGAATTTTCAACCTAAAAATGAAGAATTCCATTTTTGAACTTTCAAAAAATTCGAGAAATCGTCGACAGACGATACAACGATTTTCAGATGCCAATAATTCACAAAGATGCGGAAAATCTCGCAAGTATCCCATTTTCTAGTAAAAGAAGCCGTCTTGAATCGATTGAGACTTGACCAGGTTGCTAGAACCTATAGTTTTTGAGAGATATTAGAGGTAAAAGTGCGCGAAAAAAAAAACAATTCACTTTCTTTAATTAATTAAAACACCAACAAGTTAGTGTAAAGAAATTCGGAAATTTCATCACATATTTTTTGTTTACAGTTCCAAATCAGTCTTTCAGAAATTTTTCAGAAAGAATTTTCAACAAAGATATAAGAAATTTCATTTTTTAACCTGCAAAGTAGATCGAGAAAGCTTCGACAGACGCTACAACGATTTTCAGATGCCAATTATTATGAGCTTACACGATTTTTTTTTTCAAGTTCGAAAGTGAACATTTTCTTTTCTATGAAAGACTAATCAGGAACTGTAAACCATAAATATGTGATGAAATATCCGAATTTTTTCACGATAACTTGTTGGTGTTCCAATTATTCAAAGGAAGTGAATTGTTGTTTTTTAGCGCTCTTTGATCTTCAACATCTCGAAAACTATAGGTCCTAGGAATCTGGTCGACGTGTCAATCAATTCAGGACAAACTGGCTTCTAGGAAATGAGATATTCGCAAGATTTTCTGCTTCTTTTGTGAATTATTGGCATCTAAAAATCGTTGTATCGTCTGTTGAACTGTAAACCAAAAATGTGTGGTGAAATTTTCGAATTTTTTTACAATAACTTGTTGGTGTTTCAATTAATTAAAGAAAGTGAATTATTGTTTTTTAGCGCACATTGATCTTCAATATCTCGAAAACTATAGGTCCTAGAGACCTGGTCGAGGTGTCAATCGTTTCAAGACAGACTGTTTTACAAGAAAATAGGATATTCGCAAGATCTCCTGCTTTTTTTGTGAATAATTCGCATCTCAAAATCGTTGTATCGTATGTCAAAGTTTCCTCTATTTTTTTGCAAGTTCGAAAACGAAATTTTTCATTTCTATGTTAAAAATTCTGAAAAAATTCTGAA